CATCGAAGACACCGCAAGACTCCAAGCTGATATCAACCAAATCTTCAAATGGGCCACTCAGAACAATATGAAGTTCAGTGAAGAGAAATTTCAACTACTCAGATATGGGAAACTTAAGGAAATTAAAACTTTCAGGGTATACAACAAATTCTAACCATACAATAGAGCGAAAAAGTAATGTGAAGGACCTGTGAGTGATAATGTCAGAGGATCTCCTTCAAAGACCAAAACAGTGTATCTGCTGCATCTGCTAGAAAAATGGTAGGATGGATAATGAGAACCTTCAAAACTAGGGATGCCAAGCCCATGATGAATCTCTTCAAATTGCTTGTTCTCTCTAGGCTGGAATACTGCTGGGCACTGACTGCCCCCTTCAAGGCAGGCAAAATGGCAGACCTTGAGAGTATACAAAGAACTTTCATGGCATGCATAAGTACGATAAGGCACCTAAATTACTGGGAATGATTGAAGTCCCTTGATTTGTATTCCCTGGAACACAGGTGAGAAAGATACATGATAATATACACTTGGAAAATCCTAGAGAGATTGATACCAAACTTTCACATGAAAATCACTCCTTATGAAAGCAAAAGACTCAGCAGGAGATGCAACATTCCCCCAATGAAAAGCAGGGATGCCACGAGTACAGTGAGAGAAAACACAATAAAGTGTCAGGGGCAAAAGACTGTTCACCTCCCTCCAAGCATACATAATGGATATTACCAATAGACCCCTGGCTGTCTTCAAGCAGGTGCTGGACAGGCACCTAAAGTCAGTACCTGACCAGATGGGCTGTGGTTCGTATGTTGGCTTGCTTGCGGCCAGCAGTAACAGCCTGGTTGATGAGGCCCTGATCCACCATGAGGCCCGGTCACAGACCGGGCCGTGGGGGCGTTGACCCCTGGAACTCTCTCCAGGTATACTTTATTTGAGGGTGATGCTGCTATCCGGGCCGTGGGGGTGTTGACCCCTGGAACTCTCTCCAGGTATACTTTATTTGAGGGTGATGCTGCTATCTGGGCCATGGGGGTGTTGACCCCTGGAACTCTCTCCAGGTATACTCTAGGTATACTTTATTTGAGGGTGATGCTGATATCACAATTAGCAGTTACTCACTAATAGCAATACAGTGGACCCCCGCATAACGATGGCATCACATAGCGATTTTTCCGCATACCGATTACTTTTATCGCAAAATTTTTGCCGCGCATACCGATTAAAAACCCGCTTACCGATTTTCGTCCGAGACGCGTCCAATGTGCCCTCAGCCAGCCTCACATGTGCCGGCCGTCCCATTGTTTACCAGCCAGCCTCCGCGGTAACATCCAAGCATACACTCGGAATATTTCGTATTATTACAGTGTTTTCGGTGCTGTTTCTGGAAAATAAGTGACCATGGGCCCCAAGAAAGCTTCTAGTGCCAACCCTGTGGTAAAAAGGGTGAGAATTAGTATGGAAATTAAGAAAGATTTTGAAGGGTTTGGGGCTAACCCTGAGAAGCCTATGCCAGTTGTGGAATCCATTGTGCCTACTTCAAAGATTAAGGAAATGTGTGCACAGTGGGTTGAACTGCAAACCTTTATAGATGAAAATCACCCTGACACAGCTGTTGCAAGCCGTGCTGGTGACTATTACAATGACAATGTTGTGGCCCATTTTAGACAAATCGTAAAGGAACGGGAGGTACAGAGCTCTATGGACAGATTTGTTGTGCGACAGAGGTCCAGTGACTCTCAAGCTGGTCCTAGTGGCATTAAAAGAAGAAGGGAAGTAACCCCGGAAAAGGACTTGCTACCTCAAGTCGTAATGGAAGGGGATTCCCCTTCTAAACAGTAAGAAGATAATGCTCTCCCCTCCTCCCATCCCATCAATCATCACCAGATCTTCAATAAAAGTAAGTGTCATGTAATTGTGCATGCCTTTTTCAGTTTGTGTGTATTAAAATTAACATTTCATGTGGTAAAAAAAAATTTTTTTCATACTTTTGGGCGTCTTGCACGGATTAATTTTATTTCCATTATTTCTTATGGGGAAAATTCATTCGCATAACGATTATTTCGCATAACAATTATCCCTCTTGCACGGATTAAAATCGTTAACCGGGGGTCCACTGTACTAGTTATTAATTAAAAAATGTATATTTTGCGGTTATTTTTGTGGGTCTGGAACAAATTAATTTTTCAATTCAATTCAATTCAAAGTTTATTCTCTATAAGGATTACAATGCTGAGTTTACAGAATTTGGTTATTGTGTGGTTTACATGTAGTAAAATAATAATTACAGAGTGTACCACTAGAACACCTAGCATGGCTAGGCATTTCGGGCAGACTTAGATTAAATCTTAAGTTTAAAATATTACAAAATTATGAGGTAAGTTGGTATTATGGCTAAGTGACTAAATACTAGTTTGTGAGTTTAGCAATGTGAATGCTTTTGTTTTGGCACTATACATAGTTTCAGTATTGGAGTATCACAGGCCAACTTATGACTAGTTAAGATACATAATTTTGAGATTGAGATTGATATTTCTGTTTATGGTCAATGGGTGAGTGAGTGTAAGTGTGAACCACCAGGTGGTATTCGTATAATTAGTTGACAGGGTGTATCAGGGAGATAAGATGTTTTCTGATGGTAGTTTTGAAGGTGATGAATGTGTCTGCAGTTTTAGAATTTTCAGGTAGGGTGTTCCAGATTTTAGGGCCTTTGACATACATTGAATTTTTGTAAAGGTTTAGTCGGACACGGGGAATGTCATAGAGATATTTGTGTCTGGTGTTGTGCCTGTGGGTTCTGTCACAACTATCAAGAAAGCATTTTAGGTCAAGGTTAATATTGGAATTTAAGGTCCTGTAGATTTAGATTGCACAGTAGTAAGTGTGGATGTACTGAACAGGGAGTAAGTTTAGATCTATGAAGAGTGGGGGGGTGTGTTGCCAGGGATGGGATTTAGTGATTATTCTTACTGCAGCTTTTTGTTGGGTTATTATTGGATTTAGGTGTGTTGCTGCAGTTGAACCCCAAGCACAGATAGCATAGGTGAGGTATGGATATATAAGTGAATGTTATAGTGTGAGAAGGGCAGTTTGCGGCACGTAGTATCGTATCTTGGAGAGGATCCCAACCGTTTTGGATACTTTTTTGGTTATGTGTTGGATATGGGTGCTGAAGTTCAGGTTGTTGTCGAGGTATAGGCCTAGGAATTTGCTCTCATTATGCCTGGCAATTAGAGTGTTGTCGATCTTAATGTTAATTTGCACATCTCCTGCTCTGCTACCAAACATAATGTAGTAGGTTTTGTCAGCGTTAAGCGTAAGTTTATTGACCGTCATCCAAGTCGATATTTTGATCAGCTCCTCATTAACAATGGTGTTGAGGGTAGCAAGATTAGGGTGAGAGATAACATAAGTCATGTCTTCAGCAAAGAGAATGGGGTTCAGGTGTTGAGATATGTTTGGAAGATCATTGATGTATATGAGGAAGAGCAGGGGACCAAGGACACTTCCCTGCGGAACTCCAGTATCAAGTGGCTGTGTTGTTGATGCTGTGTCTTTAATGGTGACATACTGATACCTATTAGTAAGGTAAGATTTGAAATATGCAAACGCATGGCCTCTTATACCATATGGTCAAGTTTGTGGAGTAGGATGCCGTGGTCTACTGTGTCAAAAGCTTTTCTTAGGTCAATAAAAATTCCTAGTGGATATTCTTATTTTCCAATGCTGTGTAAAGCAGATCTAGCATTTTTATGATTGCATCATTAGTGCTTTTATTTTTCCTGAATCAAAATTGGCAGGGGTTGAGTATGTTTTGTGCCGTTATAAATGAATATAGTCTCCTGTGCACGAGTTTCTCAAAGATTTTGGATAGCAATGGTAAGTTTGATATTGGCCTATAGTTGTTTAAATCTGTAGGGTCACCACCTTTATGTATTGGTGTAACCCTTGCTGTCTTGAGTAGTTTTGGGAAGGTGCTAGTTTCTAGTGACTTGTTAAAAAGTAATGAGATAGTATGCGAGAGGACATGGGCCGCTCTCTTGTACAGTAATGGTGGGACATGAGACAGATTCCCTGAGTTATTTTTAAGTGACTTTATAACCTCGGTGACTTCCGTGGGCTCAGTTGGAGCAAGATAGAAGGAATTTGGGAAATTCCCATCTAGGTAGTCCCCGGCATGGGCATTGGTACGTGGGATTTTATTGGCGAGATTAGAACCTATGGTTGAGAAGAAGTCGTTTATCTTGTTAGCTGTGTCAGTGGGTTGCAGTGGTGTTTCATTAAGTTTAGTTAGGACAATATTCTTGTTTTTTTTTCAGTTTGTGGGGTCCCTAGAATCTGAGAGAGTGTTTTCCAGGTCTTTGTTATATCTCCTCTTGTGTCAGTGAATCTACTGGAGTAGTATAGTTGTTTGGCTTTCTTTATTACTTTGGTGAGGACTGATGAATAGTGTTTAAGAATATCTGTGTATTAAGCCCTGTCTATATTTCTTTTCATATTGGTGTTTCTTATCAATGGATTTCAGAATGGTGCTGGTTAGCCATGGGCAACCAAGCCATTTGTTTGTGATCTGTTTAGTTTTTATAGGACAATGTTTGTTGTATAGTCTAAGTAATTTGTTAAGAAAAATGCCTGTCCAGTCATCAATACCATTGGCCTTGGAGAAACCCCGGGTTTCGGCCGTAATCCGTTCCAGGAGCTAGGCCTAAACATGAAATGGCCGATAGGCGAAGCAATATTTCCCATTATTTCACATGGGAAATATTGCTTCGCCTATCGGCCATTTCATGTTTAGGCCTAGCTCCTGGAACGGATTACGGCCGAAACCCGGGGTTTCACTGCATTTGAATGTCCTATGTTGCTATGCTTCATATATCTCCCAGTTACTGAACACACAAACTGCTGCACTAATACTGACTGATCTTGACTATTTTTCCTATCCTACAGAAAAAAGTAAATACTGTAATTAGATTTATGACTTATGGCTTTAAACTTTCAATTTTCAGGACACCAATGTGACTTCCAGAGAGAGCAAAATAACAGTTTCACATACTGGGGTATCAAAGAGTAGCAATGGTGGGCCTCAGATAGCTATGAATGGAGGCATTGGAGGATTTGCTCAGAGTGTCAAGACCAGCGTTCTTGGCTTCCTCACACCATCCAAGGAGAAGACTCTTCCTGTTGTTGTAGAGTCACCTGAGTCAGAGTTTGAAAAAAGCAATTCAACTGGTAAGAGCATACTGGTGATTCACTTTAGCTAGTACCTTTTCCTGCTCTTCATTCTTGTCATCTTTTCTTCCTCCTTTTCTCAGTCCTCTGTTTCTCTTATTCCACCTCTTCTCATTTTCTTCTTTCACTGTTTCCTCATTTCTTGTTCTCTTACTCTTGTTTTCCCTCTTTTTCCCCTTAGATATAAGTTTTCTCTTCCATCTTTTTTCTTTTTTCTTCCACCTGTTTTTCTTCCTTTTTATATTCTTTTTTTATTTTACCTATTTTCTTTCTTTTTTATTCCATCTGCTTTTCTTCCTTTTTCTTTTGATCTTCCTTCTCCTTCTCATCCTTATTTTCTATGCACTCTTCCTCATTTTCTATTTATTTTATTTTACAATTTCTCTTTCTCATTTTAATGTTTTTATCATTTTCATTTTCTTACTCATTATCCTTTTATTTTTTTATTTACACAATGGTTTTACAGGGTTATGTTAAGATCTTGTTCATGCCTTTATTTAGAAGCTAAGAGCTGTTACTCGTACATAATCACTGTCTTTGCGGAGGCACTCAGATATGACAGTTTAGACCTCCCTCCAAACTGCCAGTATCCTAAACCCCTCCTTTAAAATGCAGGCATTGTACTTTCTATTTCCAGGACTGTAGTCTAGCTAACTGGTTTCCCTGAATCCCTGCTCACACTCTGACAGCTCGTCAGGTCCCAGAAACCATTCGTCTCCATTCACTCCTAAGACAATCACGCATGTTTGCTGGAAGTCCAAGCCCCTTGCCCACAAAACTTCCTTTACCCTTTCCCTCCAACCTTTTCAGGGACGACCCCTACCCTGCCTTCCTTCCTCAACAGATTTATACTCTCTCCAAGTTATTCTACTTTGTTCCATTCTCTAAATGACCAAACCACCTCGACAACCCCTCTTCAGCCTTCTGACATATACTTTTAGTAGCTCCACAACTCCTAATTTCCACACTACAAATTCTATGCATAATATTTACACCACACATTGCCCTTGGACACGACATCTCCACTACCTCTAGCCACCTCCTCGCTGCAACATTTATAACCCATGCTTCACACAAATATAAGAGTGTTGGTACCACTGTACTCTTATATATTGCCTTCTTTGCCTCCATGGATAACGTTCTTTGTCTCCACAGATACCTCAGCGCACCACTTACCTTTTTTGATTCATCAGTTCTGTGGTTATCCACATCCTTCATAAACCCATCCGCTGATGAGTCAACTCCCAAATATCTGAAAACACTCACTTCTTCCATACTCCCTCCCTTCAATATGATATTAAATTTTTCTTTATTTTTCTTACTCTTATCTGTGTTCACTTTCAACTTCCTACCTTTACACACCCTCCCAAACTCATCCACTAATCTTTGCAACTTTTCTTTAGAATCCCCCAGTATCATCAGCAAAAAGTAACTGTCAACTCCCATTTTGTGTTTGATTCCTCATGATTTAATTCCACCCCTCTCCCCGACACCCTAGCATTTACTTCTTTTACAACCCCATCTATAAATATATTAAACAACCATGGTGACATTACACATCCCTATCTAAGACCTACACACCCTAACCTGAACCTCATTTTCCTCATAAAACTCTTCACAGCATTTAGTAACGTACTACATGTTCCATACACTTGTATCATCTGCCACATTGCTCCCCTATCCACTCTATCATATTCCTTTTCTAAATCCATAAATGCAATGACATCTTCCCTATCTTTATCTGAATACTATTCTCATATATATTTCAATGTAAATGCCTGATCTACACATTCCCTACTCATTCTAAAGCCTCCTTGCTCATCTGCAATCCTGCTCTCTGTCTTACATAAGAACATAAGAAAGGAGGAATACTGCAGCAGGCCTGTTGGCCCATACTAGGCAGGTCCTTTACAATCCATTCCACTAACAAAACATTTGCCCAACCCAATTTTCAATGCCTCCCAAGAAATAAGCTCTGATAACTATATCCACTCTCATGTGCAAGTCCCACTCAAATCCAACCCCTCTCACTCGTGTATTTATCCAACCTAAATTTGAAACTACCCAAGGTTTTAGCCTTAATAACCCAACTAATAATAATAATAAAAATAATAATAATAATAATAATAATAAGAATAATTTTATTTCTTTGTAAAGGTTACAATGTGTAATTACAATTTTGATTTGCTAAGTACAAAAATAGCCACTATCATGCCGAGGCATTTCGGGCAAACTAATCCTAATACATAGTAACTAATTAAAACTAGATAAGATAATAGTACATAGTAATTAGTACTTAAAACTAAACATAGAATAGTGGTTAGCTGTTTTACAATCTTGTTTGGACTTATCAACTACCCTATTTCCAAACCAATACTTTCTTATATCCTTTCTAAATCTAAACTTGTCTAATTTGAATCCATTACTGTGGGTTCTCTCCTGGAGAGATAATTAAGACCTTATTTATATCCCCTTTATTAACCCGTAAACGGTCTAAACGTATATATACGTTTTTTCAACATTTGAAAGTATGTAAAAAAAGTAGATCATCTTTTTTTTTTTCTACATTTGAAAATGTGTAAAAAAAACTTTGATCTACTTTTTTTTTGTTATATTTGAAAATATGTAAAAAAAAAATTAGATCTACTTTTGTAGCACTACACATGTGAACATAGATCTGCTTGGACCGTTTACGGGTTAATACTCATCTTAAACTTACACAGTTTGATCGTGTCTCCCCTCATTCTTCGTCTAACAAGTGAATGTAATTTAAGGGTCTTCAATCTTTCTTCATAAGGAAGATTTCTAATGCTATGTATTAATTTAGTCATTCTACGCTGAAAGTTTTCCAACGAATCTATGCCCATTCTGTAATATGGAGACCAGAACTGAGCTGCATAATCTGAGTGAGGCCTTACTAATGATGTACAAAGCTGTAATATAACTGCTGAACGTCTGTTGGTTACACTTCTTGATATAAATCCCAGTAATCTGTTTGCCGAAATCCCAGTAATCTGTTTGCCAAATTCTTTCAATAATAACCCTACTACAATATACACTTTACCTGGTATACCCGGTAAACTTATTCCCCTGCAATTTTTACAATCTGTTTTGTCCCCTTCCCTCTATATTAAGGAACTCTACATGCTTTCTGCCAGTCCCTAGGTACCTCCCCCTCTTTCATACATTTATTAAACAAAAATACCAACCACTCCAATACTTTATCATCCCCCTGCTTTTAACATTTCTGTCATGATCCTGTCAGTTCCAGCTGCTTTACCCCCTTTCATTCATATACAGTGGACCCTCGGTTATTGGCCCTAATCCACTCCAGAAGGTCGGCGTAAAACCTAAAAGGCCGAAAACTGAAATAATATTTCCCAAAAGAATTAATGTAAATCCAATTAATCCATTTCAGATATCCAAAAATATTAGCAAAAAATACATTTTTTTAAAGATTAACTATAGTTTTACACACACAAAACAATGAGTACATTCATTACTTGCATTAAAATATTTGTAGTCTTAATGTAAGGCAAGAGGTGAGGATGTATGTAGCCCCCCCCCATCCTGGGCTACACTCACACCCATATTATTACACTACACAGCCATGCTCACTGAATTTAAGCATTTCTAACAGCTACCTTTAGATACCATCATAAACAAAGGGAGAAGTAATGAATATTTCATGCCAAGAATTGTAAAGAAACGCATATGAAGGGCAGTTACTGGGCGAGACGCCAGATTCACAGTTTTCTCTAACGCTGAATCAGAGAAAACGTAATGTTTACTCTACACCTGACTCTTCACTCGATAGCATATAAACATTGCATGTTTATATGCTATGTAACGTGTTTCCTATATAAGTTTGAAAAAAATATCATAGATGGATTAATGAAAATGTCTATACTAACCTAAAATAAGACATTTAATGTGCTCAAGAGTCATCATTATTAAACATACATTGCATATAAACATTGGTACACTCCCTGCATGCCTGCTACACTCCCTGCATGCCTGCTACACTCTCAGTAGATAACCAGTTACCATCCTCATAGTAACCAGTTACCATAACCTCCTTGAATCACGCAACGTCTTGATCACGACTTCATATTGTGCTGACCTCAGCTGTATTCAAGACCCACTACGGTACTGCAGCCCGCTAGTCGATACGTGTGTAGCAAGGAGATAGACTGCCTGCAGAGCTCCTCCACATATCGCCAAATACGTATACACCCTACGTGAGTATTTCTACCCTAATCCACGCATCGAACTCCCACATGATAACACTCCCTGCATGCCTGCTACACTCCCTGCATGCCTGCTACACTCCCTGCATGCCTGCTACACTCCCTGCATGCCTATTACACTCCCTGCATGCCTGCTACACTCCCTGCATGCCTGCTACACTCCCTGCATGCCTGCTACACTCCCTGCATGCCTGCTACACTCCCTGCAGCCTGCTACACTCCCTGCCTCCCTGCTACACTCCCTGCCTCCCTGCTACACTCCCTGCCTCCCTGCTACACTCCCTGCCTCCCTGCTACACTCCCTGCCTCCCTGCTACACTCCCTGCCTCCCTGCTACACTCCCTGCCTCCCTGCTACACTCCCTGCCTCCCTGCTACACTCCCTGCCTCCCTGCTACACTCCCTGCCTCCCTGCTACACTCCCTGCCTCCCTGCTACACTCCCTGCCTCCCTGCTACACTCCCTGCCTCCCTGCTACACTCCCTGCCTCCCTGCTACACTCTCTGCCTCCCTGCTACACTCTGCCTCCCTGCTACACTCTCTGCCTCCCTGCTACACTCCCTGCCTCTGTTACACTCCCTTCCTGCCTGCTACTCTGTATGCCCGCTACACTCCTTGCCAAATTGCCTACCTGCCTTGAATTCTATCGTATTTCTTTACTACGAACTTTCTTTGGGGCCACGGTTACTTATTTCGCAGTTGCACTTAATCAATAACCACCAAAAACAGTGGATTTTAACGAAATGTTGGG